AAGGAAACCCAAGTGTCCAGTGACAGATGACAGACAGACAGAATGTGTGACGTACATGCAATGGAATATTGGTTATTATTCAGCTTTTAAAAGGAAGGAAACTTTAATACATGGATGAGCCTTGAAAAGATTATGCTAAATGAGGTAAGCCAGACACAAAGGGCAATACTGTATGCTTCCACTTCTATGAAATACCTAACACAGAGGAATTCACCAAGACAGAATAATGGTTCCCAGGGGCTGTGGGGAGAGGGGCCTGAGGAGTTATTCCTTAATAGTTACAGAGTATTTGTTGGGGATCGTAAGAAGGTTTCGGAAACAGGTGATGGTGGTAACTGCACAACACTGTGAAGGTGACGTAAATGAAATTGTATCATGCACCAAAAAATGGTTGATATGGCAAAGTTTGTGTTATGTGTACTTAACCCCAATAAAAAATTGGAAAAGGGGGGAGAGGAAAGAAGCTGGTGGCGTAGGTAACAGCTGCACCCACCGCGTCCCGCAACCACATTAAAATTACAACTAAAATGCAGAACCACCATCACTCAGAGCCTCCTGAAATCTAGCTGAACAGAAGCCCTACAACCAGGGAGCTGAAAAAGCATCGAGACTGGTAGGAGGGGTGCAGACGTGGGTGGATCGGGGCTGGATTCCAGAGACACAGCTGTGGGCCCACACCCGGTGCGGCGGAAGCCCCAGGCTTTCCTCTTAAAGGGACCGAGCACGGACTCATTCAGACGCGCTCCCTCTGAGCCCAGTGCCCAGCAGCAGCTTGAAAGGACCTGGGACATTGGGGAGGAACTAACCTGCCTGGAACTGGGGCGAGAGCTGGAGGAGGAGCTTTCTTCCTGACAGAGGAGCTGGCAGAGGCCATTGCTCCTTTGGCGAGTCCTCCCCACACACCCCCGGCAGGCAGGCGCCATATGTGAATCGCCAGCACCTGACTCACACCTTTGGCCCCGCCCTGTGATTCCCAGAGGCCCCGCCCCTCCCCACCTGCAAGCTCATCCAGGCCATTTCCAGTGGCTTTTCTGTGCAAGTCGCCTCTCGAGCCTCATGCTTA